TTCATGCGATCTTTTTGATATGTTACGCGTTCGAAGGTGGGAGGTTCGACGAAGGCATACGTCAAAATTATTGTCAGCATGCCGGCAGTGCTTGTTTACTTTACGGTTGGTGGCGGAAAACGTAAAATTTGAGTTATTTTCCACCCTGCAACATAAGATTTCACTAGGCCACCGATGAATTTATGCCTTATTCGCTTTACGAACATCGGGACTGCGTGAAAAGCATTCCAGCAATTGGAGGCAGAAATCCTATAGTCTCTTACCAGGAACGTCGTGAGTTGCTGCATGGTGACACCTGTGGATTAAGCCATTGTAACAGAGGCGGGTCCAGGGGCTGGGGGGGGGGGGGGGGCGATACCACGGACCTGCTCCTGCCGCGCAGTACTGGTAGTCGCCTCGGCTCAATCCGTCGTGGAAAAACTACGCTCGGACACCAAACCCAGAGCGCTCACATATCGCACACCGATGTGTTTCACGCATCGGTCACGTTTTTGCTCAGGCGTATCGATTCTGTTGTCCGGCTCAGGTGCACCGGCGGTGCGTGAGAGGCGGGTGGGGCGAGCGGCGCGCGTGGTCGTCAGACGGCGCGCGCTCGCCGCCCCTACGAACAGGCGGCCCGGTGCGTCGTTGACTCGGCGCTGCGCGTCGCGGCTCCGACTCAGAGTCACGACTGTGAGTCGGAGCCGGAGCGCGCTCCGCCGGGCTTTGCTGAAGCGGCGTCAGCCTCAGCCCTGCCCGCTCGTGATCGGCTCGCCATGCCCCTGCGCCGGGGATGTTTGCGCGTCTGACGGGCGGGCGCGCGCCGCCGCGTCCGTTGCAGACATGGCGTGCGAGCGGCCGCTGCCGGCGCACCAGGCCACCGTGCACCCCAGCCAGTTCATCCTGCGGCCGGGCGACACGCGCCAGCTGACGGCCGTCGTGCCGCCCGTGGCGCACGCGCAGGACGTGGGCGCCGTGCTGGTGCTGAGCGGCGACGAGACGCTGCGCCAGGAGCTTCGGCGCCGGCCGCCAGGGGCGGGGCCGTCGCACCACACGCCCGCCAACCTCCGCACCATCAACTTCCAGGTGGGTGCGCCGCTGCACGCAGCGACGGCGCTGGCTCGTCCCCCAGTGGTGACGGGGCCGGCCGAAGCGTGGCGACTGGCTTGGACGCCGGATTTATGTGGAGTAGATCTGGCCGCCACTCTGCCTTCACGGATGGGCTGTCACAAGCAGTGCATTGAGTGTGCCTGAAAGTACGGTATATAATGTAACTGCTATCGACGGACGGTGCTTGGCTGTCGGTTTTGACCAACAGAGGGGACTGTAAACCCATTGAACAGGCTTCTGCTACGCAGATCATCGGAGCATGCGTTCCAAACGCCGCTTTTCAAGCACTCGGTGATGAACGTGCTTGTCAGAAACGCTGGAGCGGTGACGTTTTAGTGCGCGGCTGGTTTTTTGAGATCGCAATGGATTAGCTGGATTGGGGGAGTCGCTTTGGCCATGTTCCATTAGCTGGGTGACTCGTGCAGTCGAGACCTTCAGGCAGCGAGCCGACCGTGGCCGATCGAGGCCGGCGGTCGGTCGGCAGACGGCCGGTGCTGGACTGGGCCGGGCGCGGCGGGGTGGCCGCCGATCCTGCGCCTCCGCAGGGCTGGTGCAGCCGCCGCTGAGCTCGCGCCGGCCCGCTGACGCGCCGTGCCGCCCCGTTTCAGGCGTCGTACGACGGCGAGGCGCCCGACGGCCAGGCCGCCGCCGCGCTCGGCGCCTCCGCCGCCCGCATGGAGGAGCTCTTCTTCTCCAGCATGAAGCAGACGAAGCTGCCGCTCAAGTGTGAGTGGCGGTCGTCGACGCGCGCCGGCTCGTGGTCGTCTTCCATCCAGTTCGAGACTGCTGGTCGAGTCGAGACTGCTCGCAATGCTTTCATGGTTGCGTGCCATGCCGAATGGGAAGGGGACGGCGGGGATGTAGCGCGCAACACGATGTAAGCGCGCTGACTGCGGCTTGCCGGCGTCAGATGACTGGTGCTGGTGGCCTGCCCGCAACTCATTGCTGGGCGCTCTGACTATTGTCCACCGCCAAGGTACCAGTTGTGGGTGATTTGTGAGCTGCTGGTGCCGTGTTGGACGAGCTCGCCTCCCGTTTCAGACATGCCGGCGCGGCCGCTCTCCGTGGCGTCGGAGCCCAAGCCGCACGACTTCTCCAGCCCGTACGACCCCAGGTCAGTTTCCCGGAGCGCGCTGACTGGCTGGGTGTGCGGTCGTCCCGGCAGGGCCCGTGCCGGTGTGTACCTGCACAGCGCGCCGGGCAAGGTGGCCTGAAGGCGGCTGATATATCTCGACCATCCGCTTAACGGCTGTAAATTATACTGGAGGGATGGTTGTTAGCAACGTGCATGAATAATCCAGTAAGTTAACTTGCTCTGCACGAGACGGGCTTTTTAGTTAAGCTATGAAAATCCTGTATTTCGGGAGTCTGCAAAGCATTGGATCCGTCGTGTTTCATCAATTACGAGTGCGCCCCAGTCAGCACGATTGCATTCAGCGATATTTTTATGTGACCGAGCTGCGAACCAATACACTAGTCGTCCACTGAGCGCATTATTTAGCGTTGACATGGCGTTTACTGGATGTCCAGCTGGGCGTGACCGGCGATGTCTGAGGTGGACCATTGCCAGGACGCGGGTACGCTTAGTTCTGGAGCGTGGGTCGATGCGGCGGGGCGCTGGTCTGGTTGGCTGGATCTGCGCCGCGGTGGGCCCCGAGCGGCGGTGGCACGGGAGGTGGTGCGCTCTCGTGTGGCCGCCTCCTGTTGCTCCGGCGCCTCCATCCTGCCGCTAATAGCGGCGCGTCTCAGTTTCAGGAACTCGTCGGACGTGTACCGGGCGCCCGGTCAGCCGGGCAGGCCGGCGGAGTCGCCTCACCGCCAGACGGTGAGCGGGGCCGGGCGGACATCTCAAGGGGGGGGGGGGTAAGAAACTCAAGGGGGGCAGCTCAAGGGGGAAGGCGGACATCCCTCTGGCAGACCGTGATCGCTGACTGTCGGAGCGGGGAAAGGGAGGGCGGCTCGTCGACTCTGCCGTCGAGGTGAGATAAACGTGTGGCATTGACTATTCGACGCACGTTGTGGACTCTCCGGACCCGCGACTCGGCAACTAGCAGACGCCTTTGGAGGCGTGTCAGTGAAGGTCGACCCGCCCAGTGACCAGTGTCGTGTGTCGCCTCGTGGGCTCGCCCTCTGCTCACGACTCGCTGGCGTTACGAGCTTCCGAGTTGCTGCCCTATTTAACTCAGGCTGATTAGAGACTGGGCATTAGTATTTACCAGCCAATCATTGATCGCCCCCGGGCCGCTCGGGTATTAACGGGTGTTTTGGTCACCGCCAGCCAACGCACGATATCTTACCGAACGTTGCTAGCGCGCGTGTTCGTCTGGCGCGCCAGAATGTCCGTGGGGTAGCGGTGTGAGTGGTGTCCGTATCCAAGCGTGGCGTACCGAGTGCTGATCGCTGCTCCATGTTTCCACTAGCCGGTGGTGCCGGACGTGCGCGGCCGGTGGTGCCGGACGTGCGCGGCCGGTGGTGTCGGACGTGCGCGGCCAGTGGTGCCGGACGTGCGCGGCCGGTGGTGCCGGACGTGCGCGGCCAGTGGTGCCGGACGTGCGCGGCCGGCGGTGCCGGACGTGCGTGGCTGGTGGTGCCGGACGTGCGCGGCCGAAAACCTCGTCGCCAGACGTCCGGATCAGTGTCCAGCTCTGTTCCACGTCTGAAGCGGTGCTCTGTCGTGTTGTGTGCCGGTTGACGACGGTCGCCCTGTTTAGGCTGCGGCGTTGGCAGTGCGCGTCTCGTGCAGAGAGACCCGCGCTGGGGTGTGCGCTGCTGCGCCACGTCCACCGGGGGCCGCATCGGTGTGTGTGTGACTGTCGTGTCGCGTGACGGGCTGGCGAAGATACTCAGGCTAACAGGCAATCTGCATCAGCTCAATTTTTATCGCAAAAAACTGACATACGAGCAGAAAAGCAGCTTCTGAACCCAGGCAAACTCCGAAGATGTGAATTATTCCTTCTTTCGGATTAGCGACATCTTTTGGATTTACTTTGGCTTTGTGGATTTATTTAGACTTGTGCGACCTGTTGTGTTTAGTTGACATTGAGGCTGAAGTCAAAATTGCGCCGTAAGGAAGGTACTTTTGGCTTAGTATCCACCCCTAGCTCTATAGACTACAATATTGCGAAAATGAAGCCCTAGCGTGCGGTAAGCACCCCCTTAGGATTCATTTTGTGGTCGAAACCTTACAGAATTACGGGAGCGGGAAAGGAGTCGGCGCGCGAGGAAATGTCTCAGAAAAAATAGGATACAAAGTAAATAATTGCAGTAGGCCGCAGCTTTTCGTGAACTAAACCAGGAAAATATTTATCATGTGATTTAGTTTCCTTCGGTGCGCGGCCTCCGTTCAAGTCCTCTGTGTCGCGTGATGTCTAGCAGGCGCACAAGTTGTAGTGTGACCCCGCCCGTAACGCGTGTGGGATCGGCGCGCGGAGTATTTGTCGCCACCTGACTTCCGCTCCGGGTCCATTCGCGGCGTGTGCTCCATTTGGTGACATTCGGCCTGTCTGGTGACATTCGGTCCGTCCAGTGACATTCGGCCTGTCTGGTGACATTCGGTCCGTCCGGTGGCATTCGGTCCGTCCGGTGACATTCGGTCCGTCCGGTGACATTCGGTCCGTCTGCGGGGACATTTCGTCCTCCTGTCGTGGCGTGTGGTCCGCCTGTCGTGGCGTGTGATTCTCCTGTCGTGACGTGTGGTTTGCCCGTCGTGAAGTTGGTCCGCCTGTCATGACGTTTGGTCCGCCAGTCATGACGTGTGGTACGTCTGCCGTGGTGCGTGGTGCGCCTGTCGTGACCGCCCGGCCGGCCGCTGCAGACGCCGCTGGAGCTGACCAAGCGGACGCCGTCGCCGTCGTCGCCGGCGGCGGGCCGGCCGGCGCCGCCGGCCGGCGACTCGGCCTGGTGGCCGCGGCCGCCCGGCCTGCAGCAAGTCATCAGCGAGCGCGGCCAGGCCAAGCTGCGCATCTCCACCAATCACCTGATGTTCCCGCGCACGCCGCTCGGTGTGCCGCGCGCCCTGTCCGTCCAGCTGACCAACCTGAGCGGCGAGCTCATCAAGTGGAACATGTTCGGCTACAGCATGCCCTACCTCATCACGGTGAGAGCGACGCCCAGCTGGGTCTGGCCGGGCGGGCAGCTGTGTGGGCTACATGCTGGTGTACAGCGGGCTTGGCAGAGACACTAGTCCACCTGGCTGCCTGGGCGCGGTGGAAGCCAGAGTGCGGGCACGCGCGCCGCTCCTGGGTGTTGCCGTGATGTGTTGGTGCCGGTGGCGCGATTTGTTCTGTGTGGGTTTGACTGGTGTGCTGTCGGAGACCGACGGTTGTGTGGTCTCCACTGAGCGGCGCGTTCTCAGCCGCGGGCAGACTGCGCTCTGATCTCAGATCTGTCGGAGACCGGCGGCTGTGTGGTCTCGGCTGAGCGCTGCGGTGTCAGCCGCGGGCAGACGTGCGCTCTGATCTCAGATCTGTTGGAGATGGGCGGCTATGTGGTCTCGGCTGTGCAGCGCGGTCTCAGCCGCGGGCAGACGTGTTCTCTGATCTCAGGTCTTTCGGAGACCGACGGTTGTGTGATCTCCACTGAGCGGCGCGTTCTCAGCTGCGGGTAGACATGCACTCTGATCTCAGATCTTCCGGAGACCGGCGTCTGTGTGGTCTCGGTTGAGCGGCGCGTTCTCGGCCGCGGGCAGACGTGCGCTCTGATCTCAGATCTGTCGGAGACCGGCGGCTGTGTGGTCTCGGCTGTGCAGCGCGGTCCCAGCCGCGGGCAGGCGTGCGCTCTGACCTCTCAGCCGTGCGACCGTGCTCTGCTGCGGACTCTCAGCTGGGCCGAGGCCGCGGCGGAGCGCTGCGGTCTCAGCCGCGGGCAGACGTGCGCTCTGACCTCTCAGCCGTGCGGCCGTGCTCTGCCGCGGCCTCTCAGCTGGGCCGAGGCCGCGGCGGAGCGCACCGTGTGCCCACTGGCCGGTGTGGAGAGGCGGCCGGGCGTCGCCGCGAGACGGCTGCTCAGCCGGTTTTGATCAATATCTGGCGAGCGGGTCTCATTCACGCGGCTGGCGAGAAAAAGCGCCACTGCCACGGCTACGGCGACCAAACGAGACCGCCTGTGTCGGCGCCGTGGTTGGCGCCAGCGCCGCCTGCCGGTCTCGGCTGCACCGGTGGACGGACGGCAGGTGGCGCCGGCGTCCGGTCGCGGCGGGCGGCGCTCTGATCCCCGCTGCTGTGGCGTGCGCCCAGCATCTGCGCTGATGTCCGGGGCTGCTCGAGGGCTGCCTCGTCGTCCGGTGCCGTCCGGTCGCGGCGGGCGGGCTCTTGCGGTGGTCTGCCCGGTGTTGTGTGTCAGATGGTCTGGACTTTGCGGGTGTCGGCCTTTGCTTGATGTCGCTCGGCGGTGGAATCGACTTCAACTGTCGCTGACGACACACGGGGTCGATTCCGGCCTTTGAACTCCAGTAGCGTAACCTGATGCTGAGTCGGCCGCGATTCCAACCACACGAGGTGTAGGTGGATTGCGGAATCGATTCTGCTGATAACATTTTAGTACGCGACCGTTTGGTTGAGTGCAAAAAGCTCGCATTTGGCTATGTTCTGTTGACGGCAAGGCCAGAAAACATTGAATCTTTCATTTGATGTACATTTAAACAGCCAGGATGAAGGAATTCAATGTTCTTTACACTTAGATTGAGTCGGCACATCGATGACCCCAGCGACGCGGTTGGCTCAACTCCGACTCCGATTTACAGTACAGACCCAACTGAACCGACTCCATCGTGGCTCACTAGGTTTCGATCCGAGATCGACTCCGACCCGATGTCGAGTCCAGCACACGTCCATGGCGATGACGCTGTATCCGCGAACGCTTGTGTGTTGTGCACGCGTTATATTTCCAGCGTCGCCATCGGCAGGACATGACTGACACCGATGGCGGTGGCGCGGCCGTCCAGAGGTGCCATATCCTGGTCGATGCCGGGAGCAGCCATCGAGGCTGTTGCTCGGGACCCGCCGTTGCCGCCCCGCACAGTCGCCACCTGTGTCGTCGACCTCAGCACATGCTCCGAATGACCAGCGGTGCCAGCCGGCGAGCGGTTTGTACTGGCTGCCTGACCTGCATGACGCCGCCGTGCTGTCCGCAGGGTGTCAACTGCATGGTCAAGTGCGGCTACGACGTGTTCAAGATGCGACCCAAGGATGACGTCATCAAGCCGGGTCAGACGCTGACCCTGCAGGTGACGTTCAGCCCGCCCTACCCGGGACAGCTGACGCAGCTGTTCCAGCTCCTGTGCAAGCCGGCCAAGGAGACGCCGTGAGTGACAGCCGGCGGGGGGGGGGGGGGGGGGGGGCGGAGTGGCGGCGGAGCTCCGACTGTGCCGGCGGAGTGATGGCTGGGGTGCCGGAGTGCCAGTGGAAGCGCCGGAGTGCCGGCTGGGGCCGGTGTGCCAGCGGGGACGCCGGAGCTCTCGGCCAGCCCTGATGAAGTGCTGGGGTGTCGGGAGCAGAGTGTCTGCTCGCTGTAAGACCACGCTGCCGGCGAGCACCAGATCAAGGCTTGTTTCACTGAGTGTATACCGGTCGCCGCGTGGGTGAGGCGGGAGGATGTGTGGACGGAGTCGGTATGCGGCACCGGGGAGGATGTATGGACGGAGTCAGTATGCGGCACTGGGAGGATGTATGGATGGAGTCAGTATGCGGCACCGGGGGATGTATGGACGGGGTCAGTATGCGGCACGGGGAGGATGTATGGACGGGGTCAGCATGCGGCACGAGGAGGATGTATGGACGGGGTCAGTATGCGGCACGAGGAGGATGTATGGACGGGGTCAGTATGCGGCACTGGGAGGATGTATGGATGGAGTCAGTATGCGGCACGGGGAGGATGTATGGACGGGGTCAGTATGCGGCACGGGGAGGATGTATGGACGGAGTCAGTATGCGGCACGAGGAGGATGTATGGACGGGGTCAGTATGCGGCACCGGAGCGCGATCGTGACGCAGCTGGCAGCGATCCCTGCGCTGTGCCCCTGGACGCTGGTGGTGGTGCACGAGCTGTCGGTGCGCGTGCTGAGGCCCGTATCTCCCCCGCAGGGGGATGCCGATGGTGGTGTACACGCTGCCAGTGCAGGTGTCGGGCCGCGGCAGCGTGCTGGACGAGGGCGAGGACGAGTCTGACCTGCTGACGGCGCCGCTGCACGTCTCCGAGGACTACCTCTTCTTCCGGCACTGGTCCATCTGCCACAAGCTCGAGATCACCAACAAGATGAGGGATGAGTTGCCGGTGCGTATTCCCCCCCCCCCCCCCTGTCCTTGCCTTCCGTGCGCGTTCCCGTGTGCTTTCGCGTAATAGCGTGCATGCCAGTTGACGCATTTTGGTTCAGGTTCAGCCGTCATTCTATGTCCAAGACGAGATAAGTAAAGCCCCTCGTCCTCCACCGTCCAGTTTTCGTGGGAACCACTGGGCGTCTGCCGAGTTCCTGGCTGTGCCGGGAGTCTAACCCGGGGTGCGTGTAGGCCTGTTGCCTGTGTTGCAGCGGACAGCACCACCTGCCTGACCCCGTGTCTCCCGCTTGACCCTGTGTCTCTCTCCCGATTCCGTGTCTCTCGCCTGACCTCGTGACTTCCGCCTGACTTCGCGTGCCCTGGCTGACCCCGCGTGCCCCGACTGACCCCGCGTGCCACGGCTGACCCTGCGTGCCCTGCCGCCAGGTGGAGTACCGGGTGTCGGGCCCGTTCAAGGTGGTGGCCGGTCCCAATGAGTCGAGCCTGACCGACCTCACCGAGGGACACATGATGGCACCCTCGCAGCGCTACGTCCAGATGTACGTCTACTTCTGCCCCGAGCAGGCGGGCGCCTTCTCGGGCCAGCTGAAGCTGTGGCTGAAGAGCTCCGGCTGGCGGCACCTGGTGCGGCTGGAGGGCACGTGCCAGGATGTGGACGCGCTGATGCAGACGCAGCCCACCGACGGCTGATGAGCGCCGCTGGCCGGCCGGCGCCGCTGGTGGTGGCCTCCCGGGATGGTGTATGTGTGTACCTGACGCGATTTTCATCCCCCCACCCGCCCCCATTCACCCCGATTCGTCTTTTCCATTGTGGCGCAGGTGTTTTGCATTAAATAGAGTGGCGGTGGTGGTGTAGTGGTTAGGGTGCTCGACTCTGGACCTCTTGGTCTGGGGTTCGGATCCCGGCCACACCATCACCGCATTCCGCATGATACATGTTGGAGGCGTCTCGCCTCGAAACGGTCCAGGCAGTCGGTGAAATGGAAAGCCCAAGCATTGCTTCTGAACAGGTTGCATCCCATGAGGTGTACCTATTGACGGAACGTTTTACTTTAATGACATTCCTGAAACATTGGCATATATCTGTACCCAGGCGAGTACGGAGCAGTTTAGAGCAATGACTGCCTTAGAACAGTGCAAAAAAAAAATCAGTGCAAAAGTCAGAAGAAGTAGAAAAAGAAAAGCAACTTTCCTGTAAGTGACGTGTTAATTCACATTTGAAATAGCCGGTTCGCTCAGCCAATGTGAGTGCGCGCGAGAAGCGCCCGCAGAAGTAACTATGTGCGCCCCCCCCCCCCCTCACCTCTGCCCTCACCCCGCAGCACCTCGGAAATGTTCCGCATGCGCCTGTCGGAGAAGGCTGTCCGACCACCAGATTGGACGGCGGGATGACTGAGGGGATTCGCCTGTGTATTGTAGTTTGGGTGTGGCGAGGCTGCACAAGAGATGGGTCGTGGCGCTGGCGGTAGTAGGCGGCTGTTTTGCCCGGTGACGTCCAGTATCAGGCTCGCGAGTTTGGGAGCCTCCCTGCATCGCGCACCAAAACGTGCATCCGCGCCGGTCCCGGCTTGTGATAGGTAACGATAGGCACCTTTTGGCTATGGTGCCGTACGACGGCAAGACTGAAATAGGACGCAGTTCTCAAATTACGCGTTCGGAAATGACGCATGTGCACTTTCTGTGCACTTGGCGGTGTTATAAAGATTTGTTTGATGTGCGTGTTGAGCAGCAGATTGTGTGTTCGTCCTTGACGTGTCCTGTTCCGATTATGTGGCACTCGTGTTAGCGCGTTCGTGACATGCCGTTGATGCGCCATTGAGGCCGGTGCGCCGTTGGCGCGTTTGTGACATGCCGTTGATGGCCGCCGCCGGTGCACCGTTGGCACGTTTGTGACATGCCGTTGATGGCCGCCGCCGGTGCACCGTTGGCACGTTTGTGACATGCCGTTGATGGCCGCCGCCGGTGCACCGTTGGCACGTTTGTGACATGCCGTTGATGGCCGCCGCCGGTGCACCGTTGGCACGTTTATGACATGCCATCGATGGCCGGTGCGCCGTTGGTGCGTTCGTGACATGCCGTTGATGGCCGTTGCGCCGAGACCGCGTGTCTCCCCGCGGCCGTGGGAGCGCCGGCAGAGCCGGTCCGTGCTAGGGACCGCCGTTACCGAATCGGACACCGTCTCACTGCCGCGGAGGACCGCCAGGGAGGGAGCAGCCGGGGCGTGGGAGGCTCGCCAGATCATGACGCAGTCATCACAGCCAGTAACGGGGGGTGAGGAGGGGGGGGGGGGGAGGGAGCTCTGTGAGCCGCCAACGACGGCGCCGCTTGCAGGAGCCCCGCCGTGTGCACCTACTGTGTGTCCACTTTGGCGGCCGTGGGTCGTTATGATGTTGACTGGCGGGCTGTCAGAGACAGTGTATATGTTTGTCGAAGAAGTAGCATGTAGCCGGTCGTTGTGTACAGATGAGTGCGCCGCTCCAGGGAGGAAACTATATTTTTGCCGAGCCCACCGGGGGGACCACTAGCGACATTGTTGACGTTATTTATTGGTGTTCCTAGCAGCTGTGCGATGCTCTACGATCACACGTACTGCCGGTAGTTTGCGGACAGTCTGCTCTCTGCATATCGCGTGTCGATTGTGAAGCGGACGGGAGCAGCCGTTGCTCTCTCCCTCCCTCGGGCCTGGGCCGCGTCGAGCACGAGACTGACGGGACGCACGGAGCCGCCGTTGTGGTGGCTCACCTCTGCACCCAGCATGACAGATGTCTGCAACGTTGACCGGCCCTGAGCAGGGCGCCGGCAGCCCCGCTGAGCACCAGCTTCGCTGGTCGCGCGCGCTGGTGTCCGGCGGGCGGGGGAAGGGGGGGAGGGGCTGGCCGGCTCCCGGTGTGCGCCAGGATGGTCGCTCCGCCGAGGTCAGCGCGCCGTGTTGTGTGACGCTGTTCACCTGCTGATCGCCACCAGGGCAGGCCCGCAGCGCCGGCTTGCGTGCGGGAAGGCAGGGCTGCACACGTCTCGGAATGTCTTTCGGTCGTCAGCGACGACCACTGGGTGCTGTCGAGGGTGCTGAAGACATGTGGAATACTTGTGATGTGGTTTGACGATGTGATGTATGGACATACATATTTTTAAATCATTTGTGTTTGCGCACCTGAGTGAAGATACGGTATGGTGGCTCTGTTTTTGGACATTTTCATGCGATTCACTTATTACTCGAATGAGTTGGTGCTGCCTTGGAGTGGGGGAGAGAACGGGCGAGTGCCCTGTGGTACAAGCACACCTAGGCTGTTTGATATTTGACACTTCCCCAAATTCAGTTTATCGACGCTTCCGCTGTGCAGCCGAAGCTCGTCCACTAGTTCACACTACCATTGGAAAAAATCAATAGTTGGAACAATAGCCGCGGTTTCCAAACCGCCAGGAAATCCCACTACAAAGCTTCATGAACCAGCGTACCATCCGGGAGACAACTAAAGACATGGCCACTGCATATGACGTCCCAGAAACGTCACCTTGTTGGCCCGCGTCAATCGAACATGTCCGTTGGTTTGTTGGTTTGATTTCAGACGGATCACGCGGATGTCCTGCCGTCACGAGGCGAAAAGCCGTAACTCGATTATTATCGATTTTTCGTTTTGGTATAATTTCGAAGCTTTCGCGAAGACGCCTCTGATGGTAGTAAGCATATACTTACGCACCTTTTGTCTTTCGAATTATAGGTGTATATTATCCGTCAGAAAAACCGCATCGCGCCAACTGGCAATGATGTACGGCAGGCGAAAGGGCCACAAATACGATTTCAGCCAGACAAAAAGCCGTATCTACTGCAAAGGGCACATACGGCTTTTTGTTCGCTGTGCGTTGGTCCGCAAGATAAGTCTTCCGTCAGGCAAAAAGCCGTATCTGAACAAAATGAGACAGTACGGCTTTTTGCCTGCCAAAAACGCTCTCGATACCAATGCATTTTCCGTCGCAAAAAACATGCATTCTCAGAACCAGTACTAAGTCTACGTGGCGATTGCGCGTGCCGCCGGTTGCACGTGAATAGTTACAGAGACGCAGCCAGGCATCCGGAGGGGGGGGAGGGGAAACAGGGGGCCCAAGCTGGGATCCCCGAGGTCTGGATGTTTCTGTCAGTAGCGAAGATGGTTCCTCACCCAAGGTTAACATCACCGTGATGATTTATCGCTGAACATCGTCTCACCCCCGCGCCGTAAAAATCCTGGCTACGCCTCTGCTCCATCACATGAACTACCTACTCCTCGTTCCTAAACCTGACTTATAGCCAGATTCGGCTGGCCCGCGTACGACGGAACAACTTGGCTACTAGTTGTCTGATTGAGTTTTAACCAGAATTTAATCGTTTCAATTTTACCCAATTTGACCTAAGTGAACCAACCCTGGACGAAAAGAAGAGGAAAAACGACGAATGGTTGGAGTATGAGATTAGAATGACACATATTTCGGGGAATGACACTATGTTGCTATTTATGACCTACGACTAATGCCTGGGTCAACGCTGGAGGTTGGAGGCAGAGTGCGACTGAGGCACGGCGGTAAATACGGGACCGGGAACGATTGCAGCAAAGAAGAAGCGCCGTCTGGCATTCGGTAAGTCACGGCCAAAACTATTCCCCCAACAAGCATTCTGTCTAATATTCACCCATCAGTCTTTCCATGCTGAAGATACATTTGCATTCGCACCAAGCCTGCCTGCCAGGGGCAGCGGAATTCCTCCCAAGTTGGGGGTGGGGGGCGACAACCACTCATAGTCACTTTTTCAGTAAATGCCCGTACGCCCAATGCTACATTTTCGGAAGGTTGGGGGCTCAGTCCTCGTCCTCATTGCCCCCCCCCCCAAGGTCTCGCGCTTTCGCTATATGCATAAGTCCTTCAGTCTTCAACTTGCCCTGGCTTTCGGTAATCAGCTCTTGCACATGGCTGCCATACGGTTACTTGGAAAAATACGCGACGCGGAACGCAGCGTTTGGTGTTTCTAACATTTTCTTGAGGAAATGTTATCTGCATCTGGTTCAATGTATCCGCGTTTATAGTAATGACCCAATTCGTTTGGTTAATGTAAACCCGCTCGTTTAACATATTTCTAGGTAGTTTATTTCGTTCCACATCCACAATGAACTAGCCACGAGTGGCATTCCGTACAGAGTTTTGTTACTTTTGCAAAGCATGCCGCTTACCTTCAGCATGTCCATTTGTGGAGAGGCCAAAGTACACATATATCGAATTATGTATGAGATACAATATATTTTGTCCATTGCTGAGAGCCAATAAGGGGGAAATAGAACCCACGACATCTTGGTTAGGCTGGCGCGTATTAAACTATGCGATTCTTGAACATGCTTCAAGTCGCACTACACGAATTACTCTACTTGTTTTGGTCGTGTTATGGCATGAATGGATTGTTGTGCAGCTTTTAAAACTGGCACAAATTTTCTCACATCCAAGATTTGATGTTTGAGAACAGTTCTTGAAAAGCTCGCACACCACTGTTCCGTAGTGTTTGTCTGTGTTCCACCCCCGACCGGCCAAATGTTCCCAACCTCTCGTGTTCACTTATTGGATGAGGTCAACCAGCATCCAGCCCTGAACATCTGGTGTTTTCGCATTTCAGATATCCCTGATGCGTAAACGCAGCTCGTCCCAACCTGCATGCCTACCGGGGCCCCTCCAACGGGCACTGCTGCCACCCTGTCTACTGTGGCCACCCTTCTGGCTTCTATAACCCCACTATCGCGTACCGGAGCCAGCAATCCACCAGGTACGAGCGTAACCCCGCTATCGGTTGCCAACGCCGCCACTCTGCCAGTTACCGCCGCCGCCACCCCATCAGTTACCGCCGCCACTCTGCCGGATACCGCCGCCACTCTGCCGGATACCGCCTCCGCTCTGCCAGTTACCGCCGTCATTCTGCCGGATACTGCCGCCACTGCCGGATACCGCCGCCACTCTGCCAGTTACTGCCGCCTCCACCCTGCCGGATACTGCCGTCACTCTGTCAGTTACCGCCGCCACTCTACCAGTTACGCCCCTTCCCCTGCGACTGCCCCACTCGCCAGTTACCGCCGCCACTTCTGAAACCACACCCGCATCTGCCGCTACCGCCGTCACCCCTGCCGGATACGCGCCCACTCTGCCGGTCCACCGCGCACCTGCTATCGCCGCCCACTCCTTCCGGATACCGTCCGCCACCCTGCCGAATACCGCCGCCACTCTGCCGGATACCGCCGCCTCCACCCTGCCGGATACCGCCTCCACCCTGCCGGATACCGCCGCCACCCTGCCGGGATACCGGCCGCCTCCACCCCCGCCGGATACCCACCACCACTCTACCAGTTACCCACGCCACCCCCTGCCTGTACTGCCGCCGCCACTCTGCCAGGTACCGCCGTCTCCACCCCTGCCGAATACCGCCGCCACCCTGCCGGATACCGCCGCCTCCACCCCGCCGGATACCACCACCACTCTACCAGTTACCACCGCCACCCTGCCGGATACTGCCGCCGCCACTCTGCCAGGTATCGCCGTCTCCACCCTGCCGAATACCGCCGCCACCCTGCCGGATACCGCCGCCACCCTGCAAGGTACCGCCGCCGCCACCCTGCCGGGTACTGCCGCCGTCACTCTAGCGGTCGCCGAGGTTACTCTGTCAGCAACTGGTACAGCGACTGCGCGGGGCTCTGAAGTGTGCACTACGTCAGACACCCCCAATGGTTCGAGTGAGCTGTCCTGGTTTACTCGTAGCATGTCAGTATTGTTTGATAGCAATCCTTCGGTCAATTTTTCTGCCATAAACAACACCAGTGACAGCCAGAGCGCTCCCATCTCTGCGTCAAACACACATCATAACGAAGCTCCCCAATTCTGTCCCGCCATCACTTCCAGTCCGCATGCGTCATTGCGCTCAGAACCATTCCATACCGAACAGGACACTAACCTCCTAGACATGAAAGCCATGGAAACTAACTTCCTAGACCTGCAACCCCAAGACGCTGGCCTGGACGTGCAAGCCCCCGACACTGGCCTAGACCTGCAAGACCCGGATGCTGGCCTCGCAGACATGCAAGCCCTGGTCGCTGGCCTCCCGGACCTGCAAGCCCCCGACTTTGGCCTAGACCTGCAAGACCGGGACGCTGGCCATACGAAAGTTAAAAAAGACAACGAGCACGAACTCCTCAAAACAAAATTGAGGGCTTCAAAACTAAGCACCTGCTCCTGTCAGCGCCAGTGGGCTGCAAAGAGGGTACCTGCCAGCTGAAGTGTGGTCGGAGAGTTCCGGAAAATGTGGGAGAAGGGATCGATACTGCAGTAAAATCACTGTCGTGGTCGGCTAGACGTGAGTGGTACCGTCGCTACGAAACGGATCGGGCCGGCGGGTCGAAATCACGAGATGAACAAGAAGAGAACAAAAGAAGATTGGTCCTTCGGTGGCAGCACCAGGTTGCCATCGAAGCTGTTGCCGTACGGAAAATATTTTTCCTGACAACTTAAGGCTTTAAGAACGGCAATGACAAGCCAGTCTGTCTTTTTTCTGTAACACCGCTTGTTACCAGACTTTTCCATTAGCATCAGTTAGGTGTTCCTTTCAGGACCGGAACACGTGTGAAAATATGCGAAGGCGGTTCCGTTTGATGCCGCATTCTGGGGTCTAATGGCAGAAAGGTGATGAGGGTCAATGGCAGTGAGTGATACATTTTTTGGTCCTCAGGTTGTCTGCGGTGTCATTGCACTTGCTTCATGTTTGCATCTGTTGGCAATACATTCGAGAAGTATGAGGCATTCTTTCAGTTAACCCTACAGCTTCCGCTGGAGCTGGCAGTCTGGCGACATTTTCAGACCCATGCACTAAGGGACCCCACGCCCGAAATGCAGCATTCCGCTTGGATTCGGGGTCCCACGTGCAAACAAACGCAAGCACCGGACGTGATCTTACCTAAGGTGAACCATTGTATGAAGAGAACGGTCACAAGATCCGGTGTTTATCACTTCCCAAAACTCCTGGTAGGCCAGGCCGCGCCATGTTAGGTGCGGGTCATCGGGCCCGGCGATTTTTATCTCTCAATTCAACACTAAAGCATTATTTTCACTTATATCTCGAATCATTATTGCCCCCACGCAATGGAAAGCATGTACAGGGTTAAGTGATACAGCATTTTGCCTGCGAAATCCACGTCACGATTCAATTGAGAAACCCCAAGATACGGTTTTTTGACACATATGACTTTTTGCCTGCCGGATTGTTCCATGGATGACGACTCTTTCCGCAAGGCAAAACATTTTTGCATCTTAATTTAAAAAGAAACCTTGCGTTTAAGCGTCCCAAAAACGGTATATCAGGATTGGCCATGTAAACACGGTCATAATAGTGCATTTTTGCCCTTGCTTTTGCATACTTGACCCTACAAGATGGCAGAAACACCCTTTTTGTCTTTCTGAGCAGCTTTATGACCGTAAAAACTCGGAGATACGTCTCTTTGCCTTGCAACGGCAGATGTGCTTTTCAATGCATCATATGAGCATTAGTTCCTGTGTAGTGCTTGACCCACGGCCACCAAACGCGATGGGTGGAAGAAGATACGTCACAGCAGACCAATCGATGATGGTCTTATTTGATGTCATGTAAAAAATTTTGCTTTTAGACCATAACGACAGCATGTGTCACTTTAACCTCTTAATACTTAAGCTGAGGTCACAACTGACCTCATCACCGCACACCATGTCGAAGGCTTAGTCCATTGCTGGTGGTTTCTGTCTTATCAGATGTGTCTAGGCATATTCATGAAGCAACCTGTATTGGCGCAGGTATAATCCTGACCCGTATGGCTTGTAAAGCTGTTTTAAACCCAATAACAGGCTGTTTGGGATCCAACATTAAATTGATAACCCAATGGGCTGACATTTTTTGGAAATAAATTAATGAATCACTGCAAAATACTCGGCTTAATTTTAAATAAATTAGAGACTGAAAAGTGTGCTGTGGCTTCCTGCGATATTTTGTTGGCAGTACTTTAGTACACTTCTGCTGTTATGGGGACGGCTTATTTACTAACTGAGGCGGCTTCAGTCGGAGTGGTGGGCGGCGGAGGGTTGGTGTGTGCTGCGCGGAGGTCTCCAGCCGGGAGCGTACCGTGCCTTTTGACAAGCTATGTCAAGATAGGAAGCTAGATCTGAAGCTTTCTTGCAAGTTTTGGAAGCTGCAGGTAGATTGTTTTAGCTGTGACTTTATCCGGGCATCACCAATTTATTAAGTCGGTATTGATGATTTTGGTTAGGGATTTTTGGTGAAAGCTCCCTTTTAACCAGTGGAACTCCCTGTCGCATGTAATGCTGGCATCGCACTTAGTCATAGTCATGCAGCTTAATGCATGGGGTTACATGGCTATGCTACTTAAGCTGGCACCAGCCGATGCCATGGTACCCCAATTTGTCCATTGAGTGATTGTTTAAACCTGATAGTTGCGCTGTCATAAATTTTCAATGCATGGCAGTTAGGAG